CTCAGGTGAAATGCTATAGTAATACTATAAATCTGCGGAAGCATTTGATATCACGCATAAGGCGCCATGATTTCCGCAATGAATATCGAATCGAATCGAGAGCTTGCGAATCGAAATCGAATCGAATCGGGACATCTGAATCGATACCCAGCCCTAGTCGCCTAGCCCTGTTATGTATCACTATATACAGCAATATTACTCCATTTAAATGTTCCTCTTTATGGTCAATATAAATTAAAGTCATTGCATTAAGATGTTGATTATGTCTGCCTACGTCACTCCTTTCTCCTTGGATGTAGTGCCTGGATTTTGAGTAAACCATGCAGATACCCAGCAAACCACTCTTGAGCTGTGGTTAGGGACTCTTAATGCCAGTTACCCTGCCAACAATACAATTCAGCCTCGTGTTGGGATGATTGTCCTCATCGGACTGATGGGTTTTAGATGCCACCTGCTCAGACAGCTTATCCCAGCGCTGTTTATTGCTATGGAGGGAAATTATTGACACTGATGTTGTAGATACTTAGACTGCCGGTTGCCATGGTCACAGTGATGCCTTGAGTGGAATGTGAAGAGCCTCTTGACCCATTCAAGATGTGTTGTAATGGGTTGCATTCAAGATGTTGGGATACAAAGCTGAGAAGAGGCACTTTAAGTAGCAAAAGCAGCAAAACACTTTAGTTTATTTTTGCAGTCACTGTCTTGGACAGCCAGCAAACATGCTATACCAGAATATAAACAGCTGCAGTGTGCTGGCACTGCACAATGGCATCAGATGGCACATGGTAAAATGTTACCATGTTAATATTACCGTGCTTTGTTTGAGCTGGTTTTGCTGATCTCCTGGTTTTCACTTGCAACATTATAGGAGTAGTTCACTCAAATATGGAAATGATTTTTTTGCCATTGCTGCCAATTGTCATTGACATGTCGTTATTTATTCATGTGGTTCCAAACTTTCTTCCATGGAACTCAAAAACAAAAACTTTTCTTCTGAAGCTATATAGTATTATATCTTACTATGTCTAGTACTATATACTATATTTTACTATTTCTAAAAAGTAAGATAAAATAATACAATGCAATAAAATAAAAAATGTATTTAAAATATTTGTTATTTTATTTGATATTATATTTTATTCTTCTGAAGCCATATAGTATAGCTTAATGTTAATATAAACATTTCTAATATGTTTCCAGTGCAAAAAAAGCTTCCCAAAAAAAAAAAAAAGTTAAGAGACACAATAACAATCATACAGAATTATATGAAGCATTATTTTGAACTGGTTATATTTGTACAGACTGAAAAAAATGTCATGTTGCTTGGCAAAAACCTATTTGGAAAAGATAGGGTCTCTTTGTTGTCATTTTCAAGGACTTCTGCTCATATTGCTGTATTATATCTGAGCTTCTTTTGTGATGTGTGCAGAACACATAAAATAGGCTTTACAGGTACAGTCTCATGGCTTTGTTCATTGAGTTTCGTGAAGGCTTTAGTCAAGGCTGCTGCAAACAGCTACTGTTGTTTGCATAACTCACCGGTTTCATCATTCCTACTTTACCTGGTCTCAGCGGTATTTGTCACTCAGCTTGTTACCACGGCACCCACTGACTCCCACGAGAGTTGCTTAACCAGCGAGGGCTGAGTGCCCTGCACTTCACATATTGTGTTTGACCAATCACAAAACACAATGGTACCTTTGTCACAAAGCACTCTGGGAGGAAGTAGTCACTATGAAAGAGAGGACAAAGTGTGTGCGAAAACCTAGTGGCGTTTAACTCTGAACCTGTCATCTGTTGGAAACTTGTGCCAGAGGCTCAACCATTTGTAGAAAGAAACAAAAAATTGGTGGTTTTTGTAGTGGCAATTCGTCCAGAATCTGTTCACCCTTTTGCTTTGTGTGTAAACAGTGCCCACGATGTGTGAATGATTCCGCATCAAGACTGTTTGGTTATTATGGCAATAGTAATATTGTTGCTCTTTTTTTCATGCCAATATTGATTTTATTTTTTTATAGTATGCTATAGGGTTACAACAACTAATAAAAGGCATAGCCATTAAATCTGATGGAACTGAAAACAATAAAATGTATAATCAATAACCACAAGCATTTACATTTGACTTTTTACTGTTTTATTTTAAACGATACCCCTCACATTTTGTTGGATGTTGCTAATACTGAATGATGCTAGTCTTAAATATCATTATAAAATGTTATTTTAGTGTTACTTATATAATAGTATATAATTAATAATTCATGCTTTGAAATAATGTTTTTTCATCATATTTTAGTTTAAATTTGAATAGTTTGTGCTTTTGTAATTTTTATTACTTTTTGTTTAATATTTATAGTTAATATAAATATATATTATGAATAATTTATATATACTTTTTTTGCACTGTTAAAACATAATAATACAATAAATAATAATAATATTAATAATCCTGCCAGGACATTATCTATTAAATCTAAAACACAACTCAAAAATTGTAAATGTAGGTAAAACACCTGTAAAAAAAAAAAAAAAAAAAATCAACACCAAAATTCCTGCATATTAATAAGTACATTGTGCCCAGTTTTTACATATTTTTTATAGAGTGCATTTAATATTTGTTTTGCTTTATTATAATTTTTTGTTTCTGATGTATTTCAATTAGCAAAAATGTTTTTAATAGTTTTAGTTGACAATAACAATAACAAAATATTTTGTATATGTTAATTTCAAAATTAATTAGGATTTCATCACATGTACAACTGATGAAAAATAGCAAAGAATGGTGTTACGTCAAAATCCTCTTCTCACATGTAAGTATATTAGTTCAAAACTCTTCATTCTCACTGTGCATGTAGAGCAAAGTTGTAGTGGTCTCATTATGAACTCCTGGCAGAGAGAAAATAAAGGAGTGAAAACTCCTCATGGGGACACTGGGACTGAAGAGGGGGGGGGGGGGGAAGAACCCCACAGTGTTCTGTTAGAGATTCATTCCAGCCAGTAGAGGCGATAAGAGAAGCAGAAAGAGCTGGACACGAATCAATGAAATCTTACACCAGCCTGACATCTAGTGGAGGTTTTGTGTAGTGCATGCCAGCCAGGAGGTCCTTTGTCATTGTCACAGTCTTATTGTTCTTTTTTTTTTGCTTACTAAAGCAAACATCACTATTACTGATGCTCATATTTAGGGTTATGGATTTGGACAAACTGTTAAGCATTAAATGTAACGCGTAACATGTGCCACACCGTCTGTGCTACAGATATGAATGATTCCTCAAATGATTTGGCTTTGTTGAAGTGAGATGTGCTATTACGTTTCTAAGCAGTACATACGGTGGCCGAGAAATGCAGAACAAATCACAATTCTGAAAACAAAATAACAAATTACAAACGCAAATGCAAGTCTAAAAAACAAAATAACAATTCAGAAAGCACAACAACAATTCAGAAAACATTATAACAAGTCAGAAAACACAATGACAAATTCGAAAACAAAATAACAAGTCAGAAAACACAACGACAAATCAGACAAACCGGAAGAGGTAGGTATAGTTTGAGACAGCGCCATTGGTTTGGGATTACTCACCGCTGACTGGACGAGACATCTGTCAATCAACATATACAGGGAAGAACCAGCCGAAGAACAGCAGAGTCGTGGTAGAAAGTTCGGAGATGGTATTAAAGTAGCTCAGTTTAAATGTATTGTATGAATTGCCCTTACTATGGAATAAAAAATACGGAGTGTCTATTTATATTTAGTCAAAAGTGGCCAAAAAACATCAGCTCCAGTGGCGCAGATGGATAAGCGGTTGTCGTTGGCATTTTGAAGCGATCGACCCGGGTTCGATCCTGCCTTTTGCCGAACTTTTTTTTTCTCCCTTTTCAAATCTCGCATCACATCGTAAAGGCATTTATTTTCAATAAAAATTAAGGAAATAATCGAAAAGTAGAAAATAACATGCTTCATGTGTTTATCGGTTAAAGGGTTAGTTCATATTTTCACTTAGTGTAAATAGAATCCATTGCTAATACGAGATTTGAAAAGGGAGGAAAAAAAAAGTTCGGCAAAAGGCGGAATCGAACCCGGGTCATCACGTCAAAAAGTCTGTGACACGCGCTTATCCATCTGCACCACTGGAGCTGGTGTTTCACAGCCACTTTTAACTAAATGTATTGCATTTGCGTTTGTAATTTGTTATTTTGTTTTCAGAATTGTGATTTGCTTTGCACTTCTCGGCCACCGTAAGTACACCCTAGCAACCACCCTGAAGACCAGGTGTGCTTAAATCCACTCAAAACAACTTAGCAATTGCAATTTTACAATTAAAAAAATGTTTTAAATAATTGTAATAAACTCTACGTTGCTCTCATTTAGTAATAAATTATTAAATGAATATATAGATTAAATAAAATAACTAGGCATATGACTTTATATTCACTGTGAGCGGTTTGTCTGAAGAACCACTTACAGCTCTAGCAAGACTCTCTCTGGTGAAAGGACCTGTTTAGAGACCTGAGACTATTTGTTCAGTAGTGTCCTGTTTGCACTCTACACCTATAAATGATATTTAATATTATAAACTTTTTTTAATGTAAAAAAAAAACTAAGAAATGGGCCATAGATAGTTGGATACAACAGAAAAGTGTTGAAATAGATATAGATGGGAAGAGGGCAGTTTTAACTTAATTTAATTGCTTTAATCACAAATAAGCGTATCAGGATATATTGTGCATTTTTTTTCTTATTACTGTTGTTTATCGTTTATAATATATTATTTACTGTTGTAAAATGTTGCTCCCGGTCCCCATTATTTTTAGAGAGACATTTCAATTTTTCTTCTGTAACTGCATTTCTCCATGTGTTTCAGCAGTGCCATTTTCTGTACCACTCATTTCAATATGATATATATGTCTTCTCATCCTTCGCTGAGAATTCTGGGAGAGCGTGTGCTTTTGCAGATGAATAGACTTTGATCTTTTCTCTTTCTTTCTCTTCTTACCTGCAGGACCTGGAAATTGTATATTCCTACATGCATGGAATGGAGGCGCTGTCCAATCTTCGGGAACACCAGCTGAGGTAAAACTGAAGGAAGGATTTGATAAATGGATGGAAAAATGCACAAATGTTTTTGAGGTCAAGCAGCTGGTGGATGGTGCATTATGCATACAGTATGTGAAAGAGAGACAGTTTTGCAGGATTTGGGTTGATACATTTTATTTTATTACAGAACTAGTAAATATATATGTTGTTTTATAAATTGAATAATTATTATTACTTTTTAATATCAGTTTTGGACTGCTGTTTTTAGTTGTTTTCCTCCTTTTTTTTCAAAATGCTGTAGTTATGAATGGGTTATTAATCACTGACTCTCCAAATCATTGAAAGCATCAGATTCATTCACTAATGAAACACCGCTGTATGTTGCCTGGAGACGCACACCAGATGATATTTCGTTGGAACTATTATTTCGTTGCAAAATAGAACAAACATGACATTATTCTGTTTAAAATGTAGGCTACATTTAAAATGTAAAATGTTCACTTAATATGACCTTTTTTGTTGAACTGTTGTAAAAATGAATGCCACATTTGCCATCATTTGGATATTCAGGGAAATTTGCATTCTTGCTCGTATCTTAAACATGAAAACAGTAACACGCACAGAGTGTGTCTGTATCGAAGAGAGTTTAAATTGATCTCAGTCCGTGTCAATATTTGCTCTTCATGCTATTAAGTGAAGATCTACTTTAAAGATACATTGAACATCAGCGCGATTTGCTAAAGCAGCATATTCAGCGGGTATCCTATCATACGCATGCTGCTTGTGTGGATGCAGTCAGTTTTGACCGCAAAAGATGAGGTAAGCTGGTTGGATATCATGTATTTGACAGTTTACGGCACTCCCATTTTCCTGATTTTACATTAAAAGCGGCATTTTGCTTGTCAGAAATACATGTTCGGTTTTAATGTTACTTTAAGTTGGGGTAGAATTAAATGAATGCCAAAACTCTGAATTTTGTTCGCGTACCCCCCTCCGTCATCTCACGTACCCCAGTTTGAGAACCACTGTTCTAGAACATTCCAAACCCTACCTGACCCCTCCAACACCCCTTCAGTGGTCTGTACACATCTTCAGGAATGTGTCAGATGGACTTGGTTGACTCTCTACCCTCCAACTGAGCTGAACTTTAAGGAATGTCTTTTAAAGAATGTTTTTGTCCTTTGGAATGTTTTGTTCTGTGGGGATACATCCGAGTTTGCTTAAACAGCACTTTTGACATAAACCAACACTGAAATATGTCATGCACAAACAGAGTTTGGTTTTGTCCTTGCTGTTCTTAACAACAGGCAGTCTGTATTGTTTTTCTTTTCGAACACAATGCCAACCAGACCTGAATACCCACAAGACTTATGGTCCTGAAATCCATTTTGGTTTCACAGCACGATATTTCATAATCGCAGACAAAAATATGAGGTTCATTGCTTCTTTTGGAACCATTACGTTTGGATATGTCACCGATTTATTGTTCTCTCTCTCTCTCCTGTCCTCTTTTTTCAGGATAATGTGTGAAACCGTCCGCTACGAAAGACATGAAGCCAACGAAGTACTTTATTAGTGAGTAACAACCATGCTTTCCATCCAATCTCCTTTTGTTTAAAGCCATTATGCTTCTGTAAACCTTTGTAGGATGTGCAATGCATAACCACAAAAAATCTTCAAACATTGTGCCACTTCAGTAGTGATGATAAATATAGCCTGCTTTTGAGAAGACTTATCAAATTACAAAGGTGAGATGTGAACTCGCTGAAGCAAAAGTGTTATATTCAGCGCTGCATGAGCCTTCTGTTGTGTTACAATGAGTATTCTAGTAGCTGAAAATGGCATTATGAAGAATACAGGGTTTCTGGGTAATACACACACACAGCTATTGATCTACAACATCTTAGACAGACTGACCCACTTTAGATTCGCCCTTCATCTGAAGAGCATGGCATGTGTGTTTTTAAAAAGTCCTCACTTGTATCCTCTCGACTCTGTTTGAAGTTTGTGTTGGCATTGTCTGACACCCAACACTTCTTGCTTTTTTGGTTCTGTAGCCTAACACACACACGCTCAAACACATATATATTCCCTTGGGTGGACCCAGACACCTCCCTCCAATTTCACACTCCATTTTTCTTTTCTCCTGGAGGAAGATGAAGTGTGTGTGCTTCCCTCCGCGGGTCACTGCCCCTTGTCCATAAAGGGAAACGTCTCATTTACTCATCGTCTCTGATAGCATTTAGTCTTTTGTGCCTGTGTAAAAGTTGAAAGTTGCTGCCATTAACTGTTAATTACTGCTGCCGAATTAGGTCACTTTTAGGCCAGTTGATTCTATGTAATACAGGTGCATCTCAATAAATTAGAATGTCGTGGAAAAGTCATGCCACGCCGAATTGAGGCAGTAATTAAAGCAAAAGGAGCCCCTACCAAGTATTGAGTACATGTACAGTAAATGAGCATACTTTCCAGAAGGCCAACAATTCACTAAAAATGTTTTTTTTTTATTGGTCTTATGAAGTATTCTAATTTGTTGAGATAGTGAATTGGTGGGTTTTTGTTAAATGTGAGCCAAAATCATCACAATTAAAAGAACCAAAGACTTAAACTACTTCAGTCTGTGTGCATTGAATTTATTTAATACACGAGTTTCACAATTTGAGTTGAATTACTGAAATAAATGAACTTTTCCATGACATTCTAATTTATTGAGATGCACTTGTATGTGCTACAGTGCATTCTCATTTACTTTGAATGGGTGCCAAACTGAATTGTGGGTCCATTGCGTCATGTCACTGGCGTGGCTTGCGACAGAAGTGTTGAACTTTTCAAGCGCCAATGCAGGCGTCAGCCAATCAGATCGCCTTTGCAAATACCCTAGAGCAGAGGCTAGCCAATCGTGTTCGTGGAACACCGGAAAAGTAATGTGATTGGCTGTTGTCACAATGACGGTCATGTCATGTCAGTAAACATATTTTCATGAAAATAAAGGCAAGAGCAGAATGATGGGTGGCAACTAGGTTTGCCACATAAAACCGTTATACAGGCAGCAAACTTTTCTTGCGATTTCTCTTAATTGTGTAAATGAGTAATTCCATTTACAGTTAAATTTTTAATAATAGTTTAAATAAACTGAATTAAATTCAAAGTTTATAACCGAAATATGCATTATTGCAGTTGCAGTTTCAGGATTAACAGCATTAATGAGTTTGGGCAGCAGGAGAAAGTCTGTTGAAGAGCATTACTATAGCTCAATCAGTAAAGCAAGGTGCTAGCAACGCTAGACTCATGGGTTCAGACTCGGGTAATGCATGAACATGACTAAAAAATGTATAGGCTATGTTAATGCAATGCAGTTGCTTTGGATAAAAGTATATGTAAACATAAGAACCCTTGAGCAGGAATCTTCTCCTGATGGGCTTAACTGTTGAGGGCAATTTGAGGCAATGCATAAACTGCTCCCATTTCAGTTCAAAAGTACTAAATATTGTTAAGCCAAAGCTGAGCCTGGTTGTTAATTTTTACACTCTAAGCCAGTGGTTCTTAATCCTGGTCCTGGGGACCCCCGCTCTTATTTAACACACCTGATTCAGATCATCAGCTTGTTAGGAGAGAGATCCATGAACTGGACTCAGTGTGTCAAATAAAATAAATAATTAATTTATTAATTTTATTTGCATTAAAATATTGTTTGATCTTCATATTGGCCTGAGCAAAAACAGCAGACGGGCTGATTGAAAAGGAAATTTCATTCTCTGCCAGTGCTTTTGGAACGGCAGAAATATAGTGGTTTCCCCAGTAATGCTAGTCATCAAAGAAGTATTTTTGCTAGTACTTCTTTGCGTGCCTGTTTAGCCTTTTGCTTCGCAGCACCTGCAGGATGTGTTTGTTACGGAAAACATTCAGAAGGCGGGACCGCTTTTAAACAGCAACATTAATTGGTTTAATTGCAGGTGAGTGACAATTCAACTCTATCTAATGAACAATGAGACTAGTATTTTGCTGCCTGTCTTGACTGGTGGACTAGCGTATAGGGGATGTTATGGTTATGGAGGGCCCCGCCTCAAAGCCTGAGGCTCTAGGCAATTGCCTGCTCTGCCTATAGGTAGTGCCGGCCCTGTGTAGTTGGGTTAGGTGGCTTTGGTTTTATTGTGAATTTTGAATGTAAATTTGTTGTGTTTTGTATTTACTTAGATTTTATATTTACATATACTTTAAACTTTTATTGTATTGTTCAATTTAAATTTTTTTTGACATAAATATCATTATTTAATGTCATCCACCGTCTTTTCTTTTTTTTTTTTTAAGTATTGGTAAAGGCACCGGTATCATAAAAAAACAAACATTACACAACCCTACTCAAAACTCCCAGTGGCAGACTATTTAAGTACTAACAATCCATTGAGTCTGCTACACCAGCCTTGACGCCGTTCCTCAGCGACTCACTCCACTGTTTTTTTATTAGACAGCTCACTGCTTTAAAGCTTGGCACTAATAATAATCTTTAGACTTGTGTGTGCTGCTGCTGATTTCCCTCAGGAACAAACCACTCCCACAGCAACCGCCTCTGAACATGACGCTTTCCGAGATGCTATAACAACACGCTTTATGTACTTTATTTTTGAGCAGGTTGGAAGGACAATATCATCACACTGGGGTTTCTAAAAATATTAGTGATAAAGGTTTTAATGTTGTTACTGAGGCACATTGATTTCTGCTTTCTGTAAATAATGTTTAAGCAGTGTTTAATTTTGTTAAGTTGAAAACCTCAGGGACTTTGCGCATGATCGTGCTAATTATTCTCTTAAACAAGAATTAGACTTCCACATCATAAATGAAGACAAAATTGTTCTATTTTAGTGGATGATTGATATAGATTTTTCTGTGATTCATATCACAGTGGTCAATATAGTAGTTTTAAAAAAATAAAATAAAATTATCTTTTTCATTACTTATCAGATGTGTAAAACTCCAGAAACTTCAGAACTACATAGTTTTTGCATTTCCTGTCTTTTGAGTTAATGTCAGCATTAGGGTTCTCACCAGGGATCTCACAATACAATACTTCACAGTACATGTTGTTATACAAATTTAGAGGGACTTTGCTAAATAAAAGTGTTCATTTCACAATAATAAGAAATGTTTCTTCAGTAGCAAATCAGCATATTATATTTTAAAATATATTCAAATAGAAAAGTTACATTAAATCGTAATGGTTATGTGGTATTACTGTATTTATCAAGTAAATGCAGCCTTGGTGAGCATAAAATACTTTTGACCGGTAGTGTGTATATATAAACATGAAATTCAAAATGAAAAAAATGAATAAATAACAAATAAAAATAAAAGAAAAAGAAAAATTGTAATAACAGAAAACATGCATTATCTATTGAACATTATTAGTCAAGTCAAGTCTGCTTTATTGTCAATTCTTCCACATGTACAGCACATACACGCACCATACCACACAGTGATGCAGCTCGTCAGAATGCTCTCGACGAGCATTATTAGTTGATTTAATAATAATAATAATAATAATAATAATAAATGCCATTTAACTAATATTTATTATTGTAGAACTGCACAGTCTCTGAGATGTATAGTATAGACTTTGTTTATAGATTACTTTGAGTCCATCTGTGTTCTCACACTCTAGTAAGGCTGCTGTCATCCCACCATCTCTGCATCTGATCAGCCTCAACAGAAGTAAAGTCCTATAAAATCCTTTTATGAGTGTAAGAATAGCTGCTGACTGAGTACTCAGGCAACATTCACATAAAAATGTGTGTGTCTGTATGTGAGTATGTGCATGCAGGAGTGCTGCTCGGTAGTGGCATGGGTGATCCATCATTCTGTACCCTGGTCTGATGCATGCATACACACACACACACACACACACACACACACAGACAGAAACAGCTCAGCAGAAGGGTTCTCTCCTACAGTCATGGTCACCAGCTGGTATAGAGAAGGTTTCCTTCTCCCCATCACTCTCTCTGTATTCCTGCTGGGACTCCCATTAGAGATGCCTCAAGATGCTTCTGGGCACAAACACACACCTCAGACCAGAAATGCAGGCACATCAACACGGATAGAACCACAGTTGTGTCTTTGCTTGATTTAAATGTGCATTTAAGATTATTTTTAATTTTGGTAATTTTTTACAATGATAAAACTTCCTTAATGTCACTTAAATATTACTGGAATTACTATAACGATATAAGTAACTTTGCAAATACATTAGCTCACTTAATTTTTCTATATTATTTTAGTTTTAGCATTTAATATTTTATGGCTTTCAACGTTAACAGATATAATTTAAACATTTAAGGCGGTTTACTTTTCTTTATATTTAATGTAGTTGGTTGTAAATGTTTACAATTACCATGGTTTCAGGCAAAATGCCTTTAAAATAGCAGTAATTGTTGCTACAGTTAATAAAATACTGTATAATGTTAGCAGAATCTTTCCAAGTTGCTAGTTTTACTATTGCAACAATAACAAAAATTATTGGGGCATTCACTATAAACAACAATTTATTTTAAACGTCAAACTTGATTTTAAGCGAAAGTGAAACTAGCAGCCTGTATGAAATGCACTAGGCTACAGGCGTCTCTCATTCTGCACCATATAAAATGATTGTTACCTGGCTCACTTTGGAAAAAGTCGTATCGGTGCATCTCTAGTGTTTACCAATGGTGTGCGTTTGTACATGGATGAAAACTTTAATACAAGGCATGCACTTTTTATGACAAATATTAATATCATAATATTTCCTAATATTTGTCTATGGATTTTAAACTTTTAACTAAGAACCTTTTTAGGTTGAATGAAAATTAGCAGATAAATAACCCCCAGGAATGAATGCATGATGTCCATATTCCTCCAAACCTTGCCTGACTTCCTGCTCTCGTTTCTGCTCCCTAGCCATTCCTGAGGGGCTGGAGGCTGTTGCTGTGTGGTTGATGAGCATTTGATGAGCGTTTTAAAAGTGTTTGAGTGACCCAGTTCAGTCAGCACTGCTCTGTTGATGGTGCAGAACATCCTCATGCTCTCCGTCTCTCACCCTCCATCATTCCCGCTCTCTCCTTCTCTCTCTGCATTCTGCTGATTAATAATTGAGTGTTTCGTTTTTGTCTGCGCACGCTCTGGAAAAACGATTAAAAGAGGGAGCAGAAGCAGCAATGATGAAGGGAGCAATGCAGAAAGAGAACGAAAAAAGCAAGCAGCACTCGTGCTGCGTTTGAGAGCTGTCAGGAGCTGCCTCATTAGTCCTATAGAGACGATGTAGCAAGTATTTGTTTGTGTGTGTGCGCGATTTTCATTTAAGGGCAAACATCCAGAAGTTTGGAGAAGTGTTTGTGTACTTAATAATAAAGAAATCAATCAGTCAACAAACATGGACTTTTAAATGGCTGAAATAATGTTAATTGATTAAATAAGGTATAATGTATGTGGCTACTCAACAAATAAATGTGAATGTGAAATCTTGATTTGATTTCAAAATGGGTGTATCTGTAATATTAATGTACATTTTTTGCAAAGAAAATAAATTACCCATTACAATGTACAAAACGAACGTCGGAGCAGCAAGACGAATACTGAAACGGTACTACAGAAATATTAACGCTGAAGTTCTTGGATGTTATTTTTACTGCAATCGATAACAGACACGCAAGATGCCAGTAGTTGCGTTAAGCGCAACTCTGCAATGTGATATGAGAGATGCCGGTTTCAGTTACTGGATGAGCATTCCAATATACAGAGTTGCATGGATGACGGAGAAGATTAGGAACAGTGGCCTTGGTTCCGGAAGTATTTTTCCTATAGGGATTTTCAAAAATTCTTTATTAAAGAATTGTAAGCCATGAACCAAACCATCCAGCTATGAGGTGATTCATGACGATACAAACTTTGATTTGAAGAAAAAAGAATTTGAAAATCAGAAATGAGAAAATTTGAACATGTTGACAATCAGATTGTGCTTAACGATTTTAATGTGGAAAAGAACTAGAATCTTATAAAGCATTACGAATAAATCTATTTATTCAAAGATGGTGAGTATCAAAACAACATTTTATGTTTATTGTAGTGCTGTCAAAATTAGCGCGTTAATGCATGCGATTAATTTTTTCAGTTTAACGTGTTAAAAATATTTAACGCAATTGACACAGGGCCGGAGCTAGGATTCATCACCCCACTCACAGCTGCTGCTTCTGTCTCTTTTTTCGTGACAAGAATTGTGTTTATTTAGACACAGAATGTCTTTACGACCACATCAAACGGGAGACTTTTCAGACGCGCACTCCAACTTTGTCTAAAAATGAATTTTCCTGTCCTGTCAGCCGTTATACTGTGCTTGTAGCACGTGCTCTTCAATTGGATGCACAAATGCAGTGGCGCTCACTGTATATAATTTCATATTAAAGAGCAAATGAAACTACGAGCATGTAATGTTGTAATTATATTGTCAGTTTAGTAATGTAGTTACCAATAAGGCGATTAAAGCTGCCTTAAAACCGTGCATGTATTTGTTATATATGAGTCACATTTAAGAACATGTCTCTGAAATGCAGTGGTTTTCCAAACTGTCCTGGAGCAGCCCAGCACTGTCTCCCTCATCTGACACACCCGATTCAACTCGACAGCTCATTAGCAGAGACTTTGAGACCTGAAGTGGGTCAGAAAAGGTAAAGAGTTGTGAGAAAATATGAAGCGTGTCAGATCCACGTCATGTTTAGCAGCGGCAGCTCTTAAAGCATCCAAAATAACCTAATAACCCAGCTTGCTGTGATGTCTGTTCATCAAAGAAAAAAAGAGGAAATCAATAACTTTTGTAGCTTTTATATATATACAAATATACATTTCCACTTTTAACACTTACTGGAGAGGCAGACGTGGAGCGGGGCTCGCCGGGAGCTGGAAGGACGTCTCTGGCATCGGCCCAGCGTGCCTCAGAAGATGTCTAACGTTCCTGACTGCTCTGTGACCTGAAAAAAGGAGTGTCTGCTTCTGTCTCTTTTTTCGTGACAAGAATTGTGTTTATTTAGACACAGAATGTCTTTACGACCACATCAAACGGGAGACTTTTCAGACGCGCACTCCAACTTTGTCTAAAAATGAATTTTCCTGTCCTGTCAGCCGTTATACTGTGCTTGTAGCACGTGCTCTTCAATTGGATGCACAAATGCAGTGGCGCTCACTGTATATAATTTCATATTAAAGAGCAAATGAAACTACGAGCATGTAATGTTGTAATTATATTGTCAGTTTAGTAATGTAGTTACCAATAAGGCGATTAAAGCTGCCTTAAAACCGTGCATGTATTTGTTATATATGAGTCACATTTAAGAACATGTCTCTGAAATGCAGTGGTTTTCCAAACTGTCCTGGAGCAGCCCAGCACTGTCTCCCTCATCTGACACACCCGATTCAACTCGACAGCTCATTAGCAGAGACTTTGAGACCTGAAGTGGGTCAGAAAAGGTAAAGAGTTGTGAGAAAATATGAAGCGTGTCAGATCCACGTCATGTTTAGCAGCGGCAGCTCTTAAAGCATCCAAAATAACCTAATAACCCAGCTTGCTGTGATGTCTGTTCATCAAAGAAAAAAAGAGGAAATCAATAACTTTTGTAGCTTTAAAGGGTTAGTTCACTCAAAACTGAAAATTGGGCTGTGTTTTACTCACCCCGAGGCATCCTAGGTGTATATGACTTTCTTCTTTCAGACGAATCCAGTCGGAGTTATATAAAAAATTGTCCTAGCTATTCTATCATTGCAGTCAGCGGGTATTTCAGTGCTTCAGTCCAAAAGAAGTGAAATAAAAAGCACCCATCCATAAAAAAAGTGTCTCACACGGCTCCGGGAGGTGAACAAAGGCCTCCTGTAGCGAATAGATGCGTTTTTGTAAGAAATATATATATACAAATATACATTTCCACTTTTAACACTTACTGGAGAGGCAGACGTGGAGCGGGGCTCGCCGGGAGCTGGAAGGACGTCTCTGGCATCGGCCCAGCGTGCCTCAGAAGATGTCTAACGTTCCTGACTGCTCTGTGACCTGAAAAAAGGAGTGTCAAGGGGGATTGTGTGTCAGTGTGTTATTTCCTACACACACACATAAATCAAGCAGTCACATTTCAACTGGCATCACTTACAAGAGGAAGAGAGATGGTGTGTGTTTCGCGCTTGGCCGTTTGATCACTCTGTCCACTGTTTTCCTCTGGGAATCTCCTTATGTCGCTTTTTGTTTGTGCAAAGAAGTGTATCACAGAACAAAAATTATGAGTGTTTACATTAGGCATTGATGTTATGTGTGTCTGTGTCAGCTACTTTTACTTTAACCATACAGGAAACCAGACCACATGTTAGAAATAAGCATGTTTTGCTTCCTGTTGGAATCTGAGTCACATTGTTCTTCATCTTCCTCTCTCTTTCTGTCTCACACAGTCCGGATGACATTGGCACTTGTTGGTACATTCTGCTTTCTGGATCGGTCTTCATCAAAGAGTCCATGTTCCTGCCACGCTCCAGGTATGTCCCTTACCTGAATGCCGTCTTATATCAAACATTGACGCTTCATTAGAAAACACACGCAAAATACCCTTTCTTTAACCTGCCATGTATATTAAGCTTGTACCTTTCTTCTTCCTCTAAAAGTTCTCACAACTAAATATCACATCTCTGAATATGTGACAAAATATGTAACGTTGAACCTTGAGAAGAAAAAATGCCCGTCTCAGTGCGTTAATTGCCAGCTTCCTACAGGTTCTTCATCCTAGTTTGCCACTTAAATGGCTCATGTGTAGATATGCACATCAAAAATGTGACTGGGACCAATTTAGTAAGTTAAATTTGCATTTAGTGAAAATGAAGAGCCACTTTATCGCTTTTTTTTCGGACTTTCGACTTTTCGATAACATTTATGAGTGCCATATTTTTTATTATACAGAAATGCTGTTATAATTTCTCAAACACTTTAAATATGATCAATTCATTAAAATAAATGATCTGAATAGTTACATTAATGAGAGTTAAAATTAAAAATGAATAAGAAAATTAATTTGTCTAGTCAGCCTTTAGTTCAGCCAAAAATTAAGTATGGCATAGTTTTTCACCCACATGTCGTTCCAGAAATGTATGATTTTGTTTCTTCTGTGGAATAGAAAAGGGAACATTTTCCCCTAGACAGGTATCGTATTCAAGTTTCAAAAAGCACCATAAGCATATCATGAAAATATTTTTGTCCTGCTTCAGAAGATCTGAATATATGACACAAACTACATGGAGTACTTTTATGATATGTTTATGGTGCATTTGAGTCAAAACGTCTCCTTTTAGTGTTATAGTAAGGAAAGTCAAGTCACCTTCATTTATGTCGTACAATACATTACAGATTTACAGTAATGAACTGGAAAATAACAGAATCAATGAGGCAAACTTCATCCAAAATGAAACAAATCCGAATTCTGATATGAAGCAGCTCTAAAAAGACAGTTGTGTTATTCAACTCGAAACAATTGAATGTTAATTCAGTTCAGCTCAATAACAGTGTCAATGTTGAAAAATTCATAAATTATGAAACAATTCAGCTTATGGTAACTCATGCACGTTTAGAACAAAAATAAGAGTGAGTAAATGATGACAGAAGTTTCAATTTTTGGGTGAACTATCCCTTTAATTTCTGATCCTGGCATGTAATCAGTTACCTAATGCAAACATCATAACTTGAAAGTATCATAATTTGACTACTTTAGCAAGGCCACATATGCAAATAAAGACTGTCATTATCAAGGATCAATATTTTGCTTGGCACACTACAATCTAGCTGTAGCATAGAACCTGGTATGTCAGAAAGGAAGCAGCAAACTTTAGCATGACATACAGAAACAAGCATTTCGACTGGGCTGAATTTAAAAGCATAGCAAGCCGTACAAAAACACTTGACAGAGATGCACTAGAATTGGCTTGCTGTGGGAATATGTCATTTTATCACCATGGCAATGAAAGAAGCAGGTCTCTCCCTCCCTCGCTTTCTCATTTGGCTTCATGGAGAGAGCTGTGATGTGTTGCTCCTGTAATTGCTCCAGGGGTCTAGTGAACGAAAACCAACAGGACAGCGGAGCACTTCATAAATAATGTCTTGATAGTGCTCACAAATGGCCATTTTTCCCCCCAAGAGGCATCACAGCTACCCTGTGTACTGATTCTTGTCTGAGACAGACCAGATCTGCAGTAACATCTTATCGGCTTCCTTTACCACATGACGTGTGTTATTTTCTTCCAGTTTCTTTCCAAACAAAAACACACTTGTTTTAATGCAGATTTCTGTAATGCTTGTGTTTAATTGCACCTGAAATTCTCACTCACTGCAAATGCAGCATGCAAGTGTTTAATTGCACAGCGATTACCATCATTAAAAGCATAATGGTGTGCAAAGTGCTGGCAGAAGTCAGAATTGAGTTTGAGGTGGCATTTGAAAATGCCAGCACCGGTACCACCTGGTACTCACACCAGTACTTATGGTTTTGCAGGCTTAACTACCAACAGTAGTTTCTATTGTTACAAACTCAGAAAGTCTGTTGTTTTCTTAATTATTCCTAAACGCAAGACTTGGGAAAACATTGTAAATCAGTTCCTAGAGACATGATTTTACCCCCCCAAAAAAAAAAAGTACTGTGGCTTTACCATGGTACAAATATACAAATATGGCATTAGGAATACTATGTGTGCTTGGCTAACATTCTGGCAAGATTCTCTCAAAGTTATGAACAAACATTCTTCCAATAACATTATAGGAACATTTGTTTCAAGTTATCTGGTCTTTAATGTTCTCAAAACATTAGTACAAAAACATTATTTATAAATTGTTCATGGAAGTTGTTTTTCCTGAAATGTTTTAGTTGGCCATTTGTCTAACGTTTTTTTTTTTAATGTTAAATGTTTCAGAATGTTGTGAGGACATATAAAAGTAATAGTCCCATGATGTTTGCAAATGAACTGTTCCATTAATGTTCCAAAAATGTTTTTAAAACATTTTAAATGTTCTTAGAACATATTTCCGATAACTGAGATGATACTTTGATATGTTCCATGGTACTAAATTGTTACCAAACTCATGTATCAAGGTGTTTACACTACATTGCTTCAAGGTGCAAGGTACTTCAAATAGTTTTTTTTTTCACTGTCTAAAAACAAACCAAATGTGAGGATACTTTAAATTGAATTTAGAAGCATGCTCAGCTTTTCCATAGTTCTTTTTATTTTTATTCATCTGCAAAAAATAAAGTTTGACTAAAATGCAAGCTTTTAAAATCTTTCAGTTTCAGTAAGGTTTTTTTATTTATTTATTTATTTTTATATATATATATATATATTTTTTTTTTATAATCTTTTTCCTCTTAACCACATGCAAACAAACTCTTGGGTGGTTTTCCCTTGGAAGTGCTTTGAAAGCCTTACTGTTCCTCCCTGAAGTTATATGCATTTATTTCATGAGAATATAATCTGTAACATCTGATCAGTCTCAGACTATGCATGTCACTCCCTGCATGTATCAACATGCCTCATTTGTTGTTTAGCCACAATATCTCAACTTTGCATGTCAGTCCCCAGCTAACTGCAAACCATGTTTGGTTTGAAGTTAGTGGCTTATTTGTGAATTTTAACTTAATATGATTTTTTTATTAATTATAGTTATTATTAATTATGATTGTTTTGAACTTTTTGCATTATGAATAGTTCTTTTTTTGTTTGACTAACTGTAAGAATATGAGTATGAATCAAAGTATCCTTTCCTTTCCTATTTCCCAAGTTGCCCTTTATAGTTTTTCTGGGTGCTTCTCCCTCTGATGGCTACAGGTCTTGAGTTTAGTTTGGGAGGTCATGTTGTTTGTGGGTAGAGGTCAACCCCTCCCTCTTGGCTCCACAGGAAGTAAGAGGCAGGCAGGCAGGCTTCAGTCGATCACCACTAACTCTCAAGAACGCACATTCCCCAACGCATACTCTCGTAAGATGAAGGCGGTAGACGGAGCTGTCAGAACAGAGGGCTCGCAGTGCAGCGTACGTGAAGTTGGATTATCATGTGGTGTTCCCGAAATCATGTTTGTGTATAGTGTGGTAGAAGAGTATGTGTATGAATATTAAGAAAGGACATTAAAACACATTTGGAGTAGAAGTATGGAACTGAATGCATGACTTTCAAGTATCTGTCTCTGTCTGGATTTCATTGGACATATTCCGTAACAACTCTCTCATCTTCAGGTACAGTATTATTATTATTTTTATCATATTATGTATTATTTTGTACATTAAGTCATGATTAGATCACTTTAAGAAATGACTAAATATTTTCTATAAACACACTTTCCAACAAATAACTAAATATATATTTATATTTTATTTTATATTATGTTATTGTATTTTTTCAAATTCATTTTGTTTTTACTAATGCTAAAATACTGGCTAAAGGAATCATACCTGAAGTGTCAAGCTTTGCTAAACATGCCTCAAGCACCCCAATCCCTGCATTGTATCCAGACACAGTTAAGGGTTGTTTGGTGCTCCTGAAATGTTGTTTTCTCTGCTTTATTTTGCCATGTGGCTGTTTAGCACTCACTGAAGCACTACAGTAGAATACTGTTATTGCATTATCTATTGTACTGTATTTCAGCATGTCCCTAAGCCTTCCAATGTATCCCCTTCTCCCCTCAGACCTTCCCACCGACAGAACTTGCATAACAGCTCTTTTAATCTTTGCTCGGCTTAATATGGAGAGATGAAAAAGGAGCTTATTTACTTTGGAGACCCCATGTTCTTTGCTGTGTGTGAGTGCCTGCCATGTTCGTCACAGAATCACATTCCAGACACCCGGAATGTTGTGTAATATGGAATGTAGGGGCCGACTGGGTGGGAATCACGTCTCACCGGGAGTTCAATTCCCAAGGAATGCGGCGCGGTGGCTGATGTTAATATATGATTGTCTGGTGTTAATATAATTTTTACAGTTTGTTTTACTTTTTTCTGGCTTCTACAGAGAATAATGATTTCTGTTTAAACTCTGGGATTTAATAACCTAGAGAGGTTTTCCCCCTTCTCTTTTCATTTGGTTGTGCTTAAGGTGGCTATTTTTTTTTCTAAGCACATCTAAAAGACTATAATCTATAAGTGTGGTGAAAATGTATTCCATTTTTCTGTATTTTGCGGTTTAAATTAGACTTGTAATCACTGATTTTCAGTGTGGTTTCAGACTATACCCACCGTATCATCAACTATATCATGAACGATGAATGAAAACACTAAGTCTTGAGGTTTAGTATATGGATAGAAGCCTGTAAGGGAAGTTTTAAGAGCATTACAACACAGAGGGCTCATTGTGTGTGGTCTTAGAATGAGGAACAATGTATGTAGAGGGAATCGCACCTGTTAGTCCAACTATATTAGCTAGTTACTATATCTGCCAGCTGCGCTTTTACAGTAACCCGTGTACAAATAGCTATACAACAGTAAGTGTAGTTTTACCAATGTAAACATTTAAAGAAGCATGCAAACTGTCATTGTAAGGTATAATATTTTATATAGTAGAGTATTTCCATAGTAAAATCAACCTTGCTTTGTCAGTCACAGTTTTCTGAAGTCTGTATAACAGTTTTTCTCACCTCTCACCCAGCTAAACCACTGTAAGTGTGTGTGTGTGTGTGTGTGTGTGTCAACTTTGGACCAAAGCTCATTCAGCTGCAAAAAGTGTCTTACAAGCAGCATTAATGGTGACTCAACAGACCAGATGAAAAGTGAAGTGTGCAAACAGCACCAAACAGAATTTGTTTAGTTTAGTTTAGTTTTCCTATTTATTTTAATTTAGTTTTGCCTTTTTCCGATTTATTTTATTTTTGCCTTTTTGCTTTTAGTGTAGTAAATACAGGAAATTATTGTGTGAAGAAGAGGCAATGGGTTTATGAAATGCTATTCTCTGATTTTGCATTTTACCCCAACAGTGCAAGTGATTTAGTGAAGCGCAAGTATGTGTATCTATTTAAAAATGTTTAAGCCATGTCCACCTTAAAGTAATTATTTACCTTCATCTTGCGTGGAACTCCACCTCACATTTCCATTTTCAATAGTTTTTTTGTGTTGCTACTCACACATTCCATCACTTTGCACTGTACTTCTTTCATTAGGCCGTGATGTCATCCGTTGGACTTTTCCAGTCTGGTCGTAGTTTCTTTCCCAGCGGAGCCTTAATACCTAGGCCAGGAACACTGCCACGAGTGTTTGGAAATGTGCTCATCCGGCTTGGATTCTGAGCATGCATTCATTCCCACAGAATCTAAGGATTCCATAATTGGTTGAGTGGTTTGTAACCTTTCTCTCTCTCCTGTTCTTCTCCTCTAGTTTTGGGAAGAGGTCTGCTGGGAGTTTACGTCGTGGATGCGAGTGCATCGTTCTGGAGCCATCCGAGATGATTGTGGTGAGTAATCATGGACCAGATAATCATCTTAACTTCATACTCTTACTAATCACACTATATAATTGCTGTTTTGTGCTGTAGTTTCATTCCTCTTCCCCAGTGGTTCCCACAGTTTGCTACGCTTTACTCCCAGGGGTACATACCAGGTCAGATTTACATAGGCATTACATTACATGGGCAGATAACAATTTCAGCTCTTACCGAAACTGAATGCACTGACTAAAAACCCTTTTCCAAAGAAAATGTGATGGTTTGATAGGAATGATGGTCAGCTGGTTGTCCAACAACTGACTGTTACTTTGCACATCATTTGACTAGTTTATCTAGATAGTCTTATTTAAGTTTGATGTTTTAGCATTTTGTAGCTTAATTAGCATGTTGCTATATCTTTGAGACCAAAACACTAAAAAGTTGTGCATTTGACTGCAAAGACATGTCTTGTATATTGTAAATGCCCCCTTAGAAAGCCATGGAATAGGTGCACCTGAAATCAGCCTGACTATGGGCTTTGTGAATATTTTAACATACTAAGTACTTAAATTCAATATATTTTTGACATCATGAACTATAAATATTATTTAAATATTTAATGATTATAGCAATCAATATTTATATAATTTTTTTGTGACTAATGGGAAAATGAAGTGACAGTCTGAACACAAGCTACAACTTTTAGAGTAGACTTTTTAGTAACAGCTATATTATATTTGTTTATGTAGAAGTTTATATTTATATAAGGAGAGCAATTTAGTTGTGTGTGTTGTCTAGGTTTGTTTAGCATCAGGTGAGCCAGACTAAAGTTACATTTGGGAACCACTGCTCTAATGATAAATGTCATATAAATGTTTCTGTACTCCTCCACATCTGTCTCTTTCTCAGTTTGAATTTGGCAACTTGTTTACATTTTACCACAAGCAAATTTCATTGTGGATTTGTTCCTCTTAAATATCTCAGCCCACTGCAGTTAATGTTCAACATGGCCTAAATTCAATGCTCTCGCCTTGCCAAAAAAACCTAAAATTATTATATTTAGGAACCCAAGCACCTCCGTGCATCCTAATATATTCCATATTCAGTTCATGATGTATGTTCACAAGTACAGAAAGACCCTCCCTATCTACATTTGCAGCCTCGGATTTGGCTAAGCTCTTGGGGTGGCATGGAAATGTGCCTACATGTGACTCAGTGGGCTCCTATATACATTTATGCATGTTGAATGCACTACTGTTCAAACATTAGTGGTCAGTAAGGTAATAAAAAAAAAAGAAAAGAAATTAATACTTTTATTCAGCAAGGATGCATTAATTTTTAATGTTACAAAATATTTCTGTTTCAAATAAATGCTGTTCTTTTAAACTTTGCGTTAATCAAAGAATCCGGGGGAAAAAAGTATCATTGTTTGTTTCCACAAAAATAATAATGATAAATGTTTCTTGAGTGCCAAATCAGAATCTTTCAAAAACATTTAAACAAAATATTTCCAACTCCAAAGTTTAGAATGGTTGTATGGACAGTATAAATGTAGCTCAATGCATAGAGCATGATGCCAGCAACACCAAGATCATGGTGATCGTGCCCTTGTTGGGTAACTCATCTGTTATTACTGGCCAATGCTGCCCTGTAATTACAGGCTGAGGCAGGCTATAGATACTGCACTCTCACTCGCTCACACCGCCCAATATATTCCCACTGCTTTGCGCTCGCCGGCAGTTGCCATAGCAGCGGTTGGTACGGTAGCGAGAGATTTGATGTGTAATCCCAAAGGCAGAGTGGGTGTGAAATGTGAGGCTGCAGCAAAAATAAGGCAGAGGGATAATCATGTCACTTTTTATGGCGTAATGTCACAGTGGCCGGCCCTTTTTATATGCAACTTATACACGTCTTGTGTATGATGATGCCACCCTCCTTTATGTCATTCAAAGACCTGCCATGGACCGGTTACACCGCTTTAATGACATTTTCTTGTGCCACACTGACAGAATACCCAGCAAATATGGAGAATAAACATTGATCCGGAATACGGATGGTTTTGTTTTTGCACTTGTCTGCCATTTGAACTTTTAATTTTAAGGTAGAATCCACATAACGTGCAAAATTGAGCACCGAAAGACCCTTGCAAGCTGCTCCTCTGAAACTACATCTCCCCTTTTCTACCTTTCCTTTCTGTCTGCTGTGCGCCTCTCTTTGACGTAGGCGTTTGAGGCTCAGCCCACACACACACACACACACACTCACACACACACAGGCAGGCTCACACACCCACTTCTATTTTTACACAGCGCCAGTAAGAGGGGTGGGAGGGGGTGGGGGGTGAGGAGAGAGAGAGAGGGAACGAATGATTTGCGCGAACATAGACACATTTATGTAGATCGGGGGCGCATTTCCTTCAGAAACAATGTAATCCACTGTGAGTTCAGCGGCTCAGATGTCGGGAGTAAATGACGACTGCTATGTTCATTATTACATCCAACAACAGAACACCTCAATCGTTTGTTAGGAGTCATTCTTGTCTACAAGAATGTCTTGTTCTCCGGCGGTGAAACAATGGCGGACTGATGACAGCTCACTCAGGGCAGGTCTGAGGTAAGACACCAGTCCAGTCTGTGCTGAAACGCTACTGTCAATCAAGCTATCGTGGGAGGGGCCTGTCAGTGTGACGTCACACAGACAGGCATCTGAGATCGGCTCGATTTGAGAAAGGGGAAAACATTTAACGAGATTAAAAAAAAAACACCGGGTGGATTTTTATCATTATAGGGTGATTGTGTACACACACTGCCAACACACATTTCAGTTCAAACAACTTGTAAAAGTGCATGTAGCATCCTATGACCCCTTTAATTTATCAAAGAACCCTAAAAAAAAAAAAAAAAAATCCCTATATTTTTCCACAAAAAATCCTATACAGTACAACTGTTTTCAACATTGATAATAAGAAATGTCTCTTAAGCACCAAATCAGCATATTAGAATAATTTCTAAAGGATCATATGACTATATTCAGCTCTGCAATAGATATTTGTAATAATAATCATGCAGTTCTGCTTTTTTTTTTTTTGGATAATCCAATGAATTGCATTTATTAAAGCTTTATTGGGATAAAAATGTTATTGTTTGTATGCAAACCAATTATTACCAGTTAAAATAATTTTTAAACAAATGATTTCTGTGCACAAACAGCTTAACATTATTTAACACATAACTCAAAACTAATATTGTTAAACAACATACTAGTCAGTCTTAATTCTGACTGAATGAGTCACATTTAAAGCTGTAAAATAGCCAATATGTGCAAGTTCATCTCTTTTTTGTCACTTTCATGTGTAAGTAATGCGAATAATGATGATGAAAATCTGTACCACTTGATGCATTTCTAACATTGCGTGGTATATGCTGTCATTTGGTAACATTAACCACTTCTCTTTCCTCGTATTACCAATGTGGAAGGAACAAGATTTCAGTATCCTTCCTATCCTTCCTGTGAACTTTGTTCTGCTACTATATTTGCATTTGTTCCACGGTTACTGTAAGAATCTATTCATTTAGTGCAGCTACTGCAGCCCCATCCTCAATTTGTGTGTTCAATTATTTGTTTTTATCTTCTGCCTTAAAGGAATATTCTGGGTTAAAAACAACTTAAGCTCTATCGACAGCATCTGTGACAATTATGACTCTCTGAATTTGTCAAAAAGGAACAGAAAAAGTATATACAGTTTTTACAAAGGAAGCTAGCAAGTGTGCAGCACTGCAGCCATTTTTTAAATTATTTCACATACTGTTTTTCGTTTACTACATGGTAGGGAAGCATGCATATCAGATGCAGCCAGTGGCTGTTTCAGTTATCAGACTCTTGCTTTACTTACATTTTTCTCTGTATATTAGGCAGGTTAGAATAAATTATTGTAGCAAAAAAAGGTGTTAGCTGGTGTTCTGCCTATGTGTTTGCTCGTCAGTATGTCGTGTTGGCTTAAGATGTGCTGGTGTTTTATGCACTCATTCCCCACTGTGCTCTGGCCAGGTTGAAGTGAGAATCCACAGCACTGCTACCATCTGTATGTGTGATATACAGCATCACTGAGCCCCAGCTGAGTAAAGAAAGAATACATTTATGTATTTGTATATTTACATTTGTTCAGATTAGATAAAAGATTCAGATATCTAATATTTACATTAGTTATCAACCATAATTATTTTTTCATTCGATAATTCTTAAAATGATTAAATTTGTTCCCCATAATCTTGGATATGTGGTTACATCCTTGGCTGTAGGTCAAAAGTTGTAGGTCAAATTTACCCTCTTAATATATCCCAGTGCTAACACATTTTTCAAATCTGTCATTAATTGGTGTTATGTTATTACATTAACCCACATTTAAAGAAGTATTGCCATTTTTATTTATTTTGTCATTTTATTATTTTATTTTATTTTGATGAATGATGGTGAAAGCAGGTTGTAAGGCCTTTTTTCATATGCCTTTCTTTTTGCACCTTGAGAGAACGAAAAACAGGGTTGTATTTTATCCCACTAAATCTCCAGCAGATTTGACAGCGAAACTCTGCTTTCATAATATCTTGGGTGTTAATCTTGTGAATTTTTGACACAGATGTTTCATGGAAGTTCAAAGCTGGACCCTCACGTAGACACATTCCTGATTTTTCTCCCCCAAATCTACTGCAGTTCATTCCCAGCATTCCTCCCATTCCCCCGGGAGAGAAGCCAGTGTTCCCTCAGCTTGTTTGGAAATTATTGTTTTGTTTAGTCCAACGACATACGTCAAGCATCATTGAGCTAAATAGTTTTTCCCTCGAGATACATTAGAACGAGACATCAAAATGATTCCCACCATTGTATCTTCTCAGCGGCACAGTTTTCCCAAACCGCTCCCTTTTTGTTGTTATGGTCTGTGGGAAGCGATTTGGACCATATTTTTGTTCTCAGATCAGTGGTAGCTGGCTAAGAAAGTTCACAGTAGCGTCTTCAAGAGGGACCGCAGTGCATTGGATGTTAAGCTGACGGGTATTCCAGCTAATCCGTGAGTTTTTGAGAGTGCTTCCACAGTGGGATTTCCATACTCAGACATAGCCGAAGGTGAAAATTCACTTCACAAACATTACATCATGGATCAGCCTTGAGTATCTCACATAACCTTATAGAGACTTGCTGACTGGCATTAATTTGATTCAATTTCTGGCACAAGAGTGAACTAATTGTACTCTGCGCTGCCTGCCTCACACAGCTGAACTCGACTGAGTCTGTAAGCATCTCTGCCCTAGATGTGATTCAGATTTGTCATACTGTATTTGGAGGCATCTTGTAGATGCACGATGATTGAAAACAGATTGGAGACAAATAATGAGGTACAGTTCATTCATCTCAAGTGATGTTAGTGGACACGCAACACTCCTTCTGCACTCATTTATGGCACTTTTCCACTGCGTGGTACGACTCGGCTCGGTACGGCTCAGTATGGCACGGCACGGTTCGGCTCGGCACGGTTTGTCGTGTTCGACTGACGTCAGAGTTCTGTACGTTTGGATGATGTGAACGCTGTCTTCCGAACTCGGGTGTGCACCCGTGAACCATACCCGAGTCCGCTTGAAAAGGGTGGTCTGGGGTACGGCTCAAGTGAACTCCAGTAAGGTTCACTTCTGATGCGAAAGCAGTCGTACCCAAATTTACACGGCACCCCTGCTCTCGACAGACGGCACCCCAGGGTGCCGCGGCACCCCGGTTGGGAAACACTGCTTTAGAGCATTTGCAGTACATTCGTATGACAGACCTAAGTGTCGTTATGTACCGAAGCTTTGTAAACAAAACCAACAGTTGAAAAGCATAAATCTAAAAGTGAAGAGAGCAATGTTACGCATTTTGCGGTCTTCTCCTGCGCCGTCGTTACTAAGCAATGGGGTAAACAGCTGCTGGCTTGATGACGCAAACGAACCGCGGTTCGGACCCAAATAAAATAATACGAACGCAGTCCAGCAGGGGGAGGGGGAGCAATCAAACTCTGGTTCGGACCAGGCAATCGAACCAAGTGTAAAAGCACCCTTAAACAACATTTTTGGATATTACACAGTCCATCCCACATCAAAACAGAATGTCAGAATGTTCGGATGTTTTTCACTGTTATACAGTTCTAACATGGATTTTCTTTTTTTTTTTTTCTAATTATTGCTGCATGAAATTACTTAATTATTTTATTTTATTTTATTTTATTTTTTAACTTAACATTTTCATAATTTGATGATAGAGAATGATTGCATGAAAAAGAGGCAATGGGGTTGGTTAATTTTATTTTATTTCATACATTTTTGCTCAGTTTTTAGTACTATTTGTGGCATATTTTGCTGTGTTTTGCAGTGAAAACCCATCAGTAATTAAGCCATTATGTACATTTTTGGCTGAAAATCACAAGTTATCAAAAACACTGAGGGGATTTGTTGAATTTACACTCATATCACACTTACAATTGTGCTGTAAACACCCCATTTAGTTAAAATTGCAGTTTTAGTTCATAGCTTTGAGATCATATGTATATTAATTGTTTAGAATTTATAGTCTTTTTCTGTTTTCATCTAGTGTAGCAAGTACTAAAAGTTGGTTCAAGACTATGATGTAAACTAAAGATTATTTTCATTTATTTATTTATTTATTTTTAAAGCCTTTCAGTATGTCCTGCCCAAATTTCCTCTTTCAATAGGAAAGAAAACTGCTCTTGTCAAGTCATTTCATGGAATCTTTAAATTATTATTTATTTTTATTTTTTTTGTCAATAGTGACTTTAAGACCAGCGAACAGTGACTGCCTTCTTGTTGGGTTACACTGGGTACCATTTTGTCTCCATAAATCTGTCTTTTTCCCTTCCTCTCCGGTACTGTGGAGCAGCTGGTCTTTAATTATCATGAGACCTCGTCAAGTCAATGACGAATGCCAGCCTTTTCCTTCTTTTGCATCTCTTAGTTTGCTGATCATTGCGTTTCATTTCAATAACTAAATGACCTCCCTTTGGTTGCATAATTAGCCACTTTTCCATTCATCTGAAGTGTCCAAGTTCCCTTATATGTTAGCTTTGTGGCTTTTTATTTCAGCATCCGCCTCATGTTTCTCAGCTGTGTGTGTACTGTATGTGTGTGTGTGTGTGCACTACCCTCTGTTGTTTTTTGATAGCATCTGAGCTTTTATAAAGGATGTGTCCCTCTCTTCTTCCCGTAGTATGACTTGCAAAGTGCTTAACAGGGTTTCTCTGAGCCTGCTCTGCTCTTCAGTAACCCAGGCTGATAATAACTCCCCTCTTCTCTGCTTCTCTCCTCATTCTGGCTCCTCCACAGGAATGCGTTAAGGCTCAGGTATCGTACTTATTCACTGTTTCTGTTCCTTTGTGTGTGCCATTTCCTGCTCAGCTGTGATTATATACTGTATGTGTGTAGGTTATATATGTGTGTGCGATAAGAGTTTATGACCCTGTGACAGTAGTAATATGGCTTATTTGTGTGGATGTGTGTATTTATATTGCCAAATGAATGTTTGGTCCAACAGCGCTTTAAAGTGGTTGATGCTATACTGCAAGCCTTCAGGTTACACACTGAGATTCTTGCCTCATAACTAGTCAGACAAACTAGATTTTATATTTTTTTGAAAGAATGTGTGCGTGGCTCTTGTTGGTGGAGAATTTGCTGATAGGGTTACTGAGGTGTTGCTATGCTATGCTATTAATGGGTTTTAGTGTGTTGCTATGCATTTGCTAGGGTGTTCAGGGTTGCTGCTAGGTGGTTGCTAACTGGACCATGTCAAATGAGTCTCTATGATGCCCTAGTCTCTAGATGTGGCTTGGGTCCCTCCCTCAAATTCAAGGTTTGGTTTTGTGGAAATATATTTGGATTTTTTTTTTTGGTGCAGGATGAATTATGAACTGGTTAAGGGTAATTGTTCCACAACCAACTGCTTATGTCCATGGTTCTCACTTAGTTTTGCTTCAGAACCCAAATTATACATTGGACATCAAGTGGCGACCCTGAACAGTAACTAAATTAGATTTTTGTTAAAAAAAAAAAAATCTTAAAATCAAACATTGTAGTTATTGTAAAATTCTTTATAATATAAATATAAAAGTAAAATAAATAAGAATTACATTTTGTTTTGTTTTGTTTGCCTGACTAGTAAATAAAATCATAATTTTGATAATTTAAGCATGTAATACCATGCCGTTCCCCAACAAGCTGCACAATTTGAGTGTCATTTCATGTAGCACAATTGGTGCAGGGTGAGTTATGTACTGGTTAAGGGTAACTGTTCTTCAACCAACTGGTTATATCTTGTGGTTCTCAACTAGTTTTGCTTCAGAACCCAGAATGTACATTATGTACATTAAGCGGCAACATCAAGCGGCATCAATTTGATATTTATGGGGGAAAATCCTTCAAATTAAACATTGTAATTATTTTCAATGTAAATATAAAATATAATAAATAAAATAAAATATAAAAAAATGTATATAAATATATTTGTTAAAACTGTTTTGTAAAAGCATAAACAACAACAGAAGTGTGATGTACCATCCAAACTGTTCAAACAAACATTCTGCCAAATAATGTATTAATTTTAGCAGTATTTCTATTTTACCATTTTACTTAATTAGCCATATGACAGTCGTATTTTCACAGAAATACCAAAAAGTTAATTCAAAAGCATTTAATGACATCAGTAACCAAAGATTTGTTTGAATCATTTGATTCAAAGCATTTTCTCCTATTTACTTTGCTATGCACAATTAAATTGTTCAGTCGTATTTTGTTGTTTGCCTTGTTTGTCCCATTTGTTTTCCCTCTGACCCTGTCAGAACCGAGTTGCACTAGCTGAGAACAACAATAACAATTTATGATTTCGTAGCTAGGCTTAATTGTGCTGCACTACAAAGGCTCAGCCCTTTTCACACAAACAAGGGTGCATGTAAGATATTTGTGTGCTAATGTGTTTATATGCGTCTGTTTAGCGTGTTATTTGACGCCCTAGGCCTGATGGGGACTGCTGATGGGTAGACCTTACTGCCGCTGAGCTGATACTTGTTCTGCCGTAATTAGATTCAGTGAGGAGTGAAGCAAAGCGATTGAGAGACGGAAAGTGTGATCGTGTGTGTTAGAGAGTGGAAAAGAGTGAGAGAGGGAGTCTTGTCAGGTGTTCTTGTGAAGAGTCGTCTCTATTTTTAGAGCTGTCCTCAGTGATGGCTGCTTCTGCAGTATACGGCAGCACTGAGACACAAAAGGCCGGCACTTAAAAAGATTTATACTACTATAAACACACACAAACATGCAAGCTATCGTATGGCTTCAGAAGACTTGGAATATAGTGTGCTGGCTTGTAGGACCTTTAGGGTTTTATACTGTCACAAATGTATCGTGGTGAAGAAATTTCACTAGACATTCGCTGTCTTCTTCATATTTACATATGCACATAGCACTGTAGAATGAAAATGATTTCTTCTTAGATGTATTTCTGTCCTGCTAAACTGTCCATTAGCATAAATGACAGTTGACAGTTATGACACCCACTCCGTCATAGCTGTTATGACAGTTATGATAGAGCTGATGGTTTAAGCCACACGGACGTTTCAAATGATAACAGTGGGGCATCGGGTCCAGATGGACGGCTATCAGCCAGGAGCAGTGTACCTTGCCGAAACCTTGCAGCCCTCGTCCTTTGATCTTACTGTCTTTTCATCCCTCTTTCCTCTCTCGCACTCATATTCAGTTTTCAGCAGTTTTTTTGTAGATTACCATGCATACATGGCAATAGAGGTTGACAGTTAAACCAGTGTGCTGTAAAGTCCCATCCAGTGACCTTTTAGGTTTATGCTTTAACTTTTACACCTGGAACTCAAGAACTGATTCATATTCAGATTGGGTCAAACAAATGATATTTGTGATGTTCGGTTCTGTAAGTGGGTCTTAAATCTTTTTCCTGCTTTAAAATGGCATTATCCTCGCTTGCTGCATGCAACAACAACAAACATGCAACACAACCAGTAAGCACTGATTTGTCAACACATGAATTGCTTCCTCATTAATCAGTCTCAAACTCATGAGTTATCATTTTGAACCAGTCCTCACTGGTTCAAACCAGACTCACTGAATCAGTTGAAGTGCTTATTCACCTAATAACTGAGCTGCACATCATGACTTTAATCTTTTTTTTTTCTTACTTACATGTAGAGTACTTTCTCTACCTGACTAAAATAATCATTCATGGAATCGAATCTGAACCATAATCGTTCATTATTATTGATTCCCATACCTTATTGACAGTTTCTATAGAGTCGCATATTCTTTTAATGTTGACGCATGCTTACAGAAAGTAACTAATTATTTAGATGAGATTCTCCCACTCAGTGTTATATTTAAAACCATTACATATGCAGAAAATATGAATAATTCATATCTGAGCCATAGTTTTGATTTGTGCATGCTGTAGTTACCACATATTACAGAATGCAGCTGTTCTACTTCTGGAAGAGGGGAAAAACACACTTCCTTCGGGTACTGTTACGTTGACCCTCCGCACCCTCCGCAATTACCAGAATGCCACATCTCACTTCACCATTGTTTTTAGACCAGCAACTCTTCCTCCTGCCTTTATTTCCTCAAGAAAGTCACTTCAGCTCTCTTGTTCTAGTAGGAAATCCCTTTCCTGCATCTGTGTTTTGACAGGAAGCATGCAGGATTGGAAGTGCACTGGTGAAACATGGACCCTTTGAACCCTGATAGGCGGTATGAGAATCAAACAACACTTATGAGCAAGCCAAGACACTTTCTTTTTCCTCCACAGGATTGAACACCTATGCTGTCTATAGTATTGATCTTTAATTAGTCCCATGCTAAACATATCCCTCCAAGACATATCAGCTCTGCTTAGCCACATGCTAAGAGAGAAAACACACTTTTGCCGTTTGTCAATAAGCTACACAACTATAATTGGGATGCAATGACTTCTAAAAAAGTTTTAATGTCCTTTATACTTTTACAAGTTCAAAACATGGCAACTGCTGGAAACAAATTATTCTGCCAAATAATAGTTAATTTGACTAACCGTTAGCTGTTTATGTTTGCCTAACAATAGTCTAGCAACTATCTGCATTTTACGACAGCTTAAAACACTGCTCATCTATTCACAATATAAATTATAATTATAATATAAATCTTTTTAACAGCTGATGTACATCATAATTTAAATGCATCATGTTGTTTAGCAAAACAACAACTGTAAACGGCATGCGGTTAACTAGCAGGCTAATGGATCGTATTACCAAATTGAGAAGTTGTTTATTGTGAAAATGAACATTAATTAATCAAATTAGTATTGATCATTTGTGTCTTTTGTCATATTGCTGTTTGGAACTACTTTGTCCTGCCCAGTGTCACCCTTTAACCCATTGTTAATGCATGGCTTGTCTTGGTTTATTTTTTTAATAACATATACAGGTCATTTGAAGTTGCTCTCCTTCTTGTAGTGTAAAGGCAGTGGTCCTTATTGTTATGCATGTGGTGTTCTCTGTCTACGATCTTAACCAGCCCTAACACTGCATGTTAATTACTGTGCAAGTCATTTAGAAGATTACTCAATGAACTAAGCATCACTATAGACATTTTAATGTAATGAAACAGGTTAATTGAGTTGTTAGTTGGACTGGGCCTTCTATCACAGTATAAATAATTATATATCATGAAAATAATATTTATATCAATGTAATTATTTGCCAGTGACCCTACAGAAGATAAGCGATTTGGAGAATAAATGGATAGATGAATATAATTATTTTGTTTATGTAATGGTTTATATTTTTGTGATTTATATTGGATAATAGTGTAAATTGAAATAATTTACAAATTAGATTTTTTTTGTGGCAGTTTAATGGACACAGATCAAAAACAGATTCAGCTTCAATCAAAAGACTTACAAGTTCTTGTCTTGAATTGTTTAGGACTTGTAAAGTCCTATATATAATACAAAATAATGTAAAGAAGTCCTGTCCACTTTAGCTAAATAAATATACTGTATATAGCACATTATGAACAATGCTTTTTACCTGGTGTAGACCACCCAGCCTTATTCATTAGCATATATTATACTTCTATACTATATATTAGTGGTCTCAACAAAAATGAGTGTTTGTAATTGCTTGTCAGAGTTGCGAGGAGCTTTCTTCATTGTCAGACTGTAGCTGTAGTCTATCTTTCTGAAGAATGAGTGCAGAATAGCCCTACTGTACTCAAATTTTGAAAAGGTTTGGCATGAAAAGAATGATCCGGAAGAGCTTCAGTCAATGTTAATCCTATCTGTCTGCCAAGCCCCCCCC